TTGATTGTTTTTCTTATGTACTTTAAAAAAAAACCCTCAAACCAATTCTGCTAATTAAGCTCTCCTTGGCCAGGAGCTCACTTGGATCTCTGACAGTTCCTAGTTAAAGCCCAGTTTGTGGTTTTTGACGGCAAACCAAGACCCTCTTGTCTGCTTCAGGAAAACTGGCTGGTTTTCATCCCTGGCATTATTCTGTGGGTATCCTCATTCCAACAAGTCACCAATTGTCTTTACCATGACTTACAGTTGTGCCAGATTTTTTTGGTCACTTTTGCTTGAGACAGTTATACCAGTGATAATTTTTTTCTTAATTTAGCTTTAGTTTCTGACAAACAATCTTGAGAATAGGAAAAGCTTGTATAGTGAAATGATCATAGAAGGGCAAAAGCAAGTAAATCAAAATGTCTAGATGAATATGTGTATGTGTTTTGGTATATGTTTTACTTTTTGTGTATTTCTTGTTAATTAGTTCACCATTTAAAAGCTAAAAGAAACATAAAAATAATATTTTACAAAATGAAGTGTCAAAGTGCACTTTAAAAAATAATGGTACTTGATACAAATTAAATTTAGTACTTCTTGAAATTTTGTTCACTTTCTAACACATCTAGAAACAGGAAATGAGACTGAGTAAAACTGTTCAGTACTTGTATTAGTAAACCTACCTCATTTCCCTTTTCCTATCTCCTTACCAGAAAAGAAGTGATCTAAGTATTTTATGTTTGCTTCTCACAGAATTTGAAAGACTTTTCATAGTATTTTGATTTTGAAAATATATTACTCAAAGTAGCTACTTGTTATATCCCTTACCAATTTATAGACCCTCAAACTAAGATTGAAAGCAAATAACAAGCCTTGTAAAACTTAGAACTATTCTTGATTCTCTGTATGGTCTCTAGTAGTGTCCCTGAACTAAAACTTTCAGTCTGTGACCTTGAGAAACCCAGAAAGTAAATAGAAACAGTGCAGAATAGAAGGTCATCCTCTCTACCACGATCCCAAAAGGGTATCAAATATTCATCTTCACAGGTACATGTCTTCATAATTAAGGCAGATGGGAACTAATGCAAAAGCAATTCAAAACGGGGGTGGGGGCACACGAAAGCAATAATTTTGAATGTTTGACATTTGTTTTGAAACTACCTTACTACCCTATACCCTTTACCATCTGTCTGTTATCCCTCCCAACACCCACCTCTGTCTTCCCACAGGGCTCCATTGTCTGCAGTTCCTGTTTCTCAGGGGCGGAGCTGTGGGAGGCAGCCATGGGTGCCATAATAGGCACCTGCGGCCAGCACAATGGGCTGTGGGTGCTTGTGGGAGAGACAGATTGATGTATTGTGCATGGGGGAGGAGGGCTGTCACTTGAATCCATGTGAACCCAGGCTTTAGGGGCAAGGGAGATTGACAGCTTTTGTAGGTTGCATTTCTTTTTCAAAGCTTGGCTTTAATAGACAGTAAGTTTGGGGCCCCAGGCTTTCACTCCCATAATTCTAACAGGGCAATCACGAGCATTCAGCATTTCTTTTTACCCCCCTTGTTCCGCATTAAATGATTTCAGTAAAGGAATGTGCAGCATTAATTAGAATTTGTTAGCAGATACCAAGGGGAAAAGTTTCTTCACAACAACTATAGGAGGTGTCATTTGTACAAAGACTTTTTTGTTTTCTTTCCCCATTACATTATCACTGCAATATGTAAGGTAGTGATTCTTTTCATTTAAATTAAGTGGAAAGCTACTAAATCTTGTTTTATTCTCCAAAAAGAATAAGGTCCTTAACACTTATCTTTTAACTTCTTTCATTTCCTAAGGTTGGTGTTTACTTTTGCTTTCAGTCCAACCCATTTACTGGTCTGTGAGGTTGTGTATCCAGTTTTGTGTACCATTTAGCTCTTACAATTGCAGGCAGCCCACTGTACTGATATATAAGGATTATTACCAGGTAAAATAGCCACAAATAATATTGGAAATCATTGATATACCAGTACCCTTTCAGTAATGGTACAGTGAGAAGTCCAAAAATTAAAGTCTGTTGGTCTGTATCCTAATGTTTTCAAATGCTAGTTTTCTCTGGTTGCTACTTAACCTTACTTGAAAAGATGGGGAAGTGGCCAAGGAATGTTTTTTTTCCCATAGAAAACTCATTCCTTAGTTATGTGAATTTTTTTAAACGTCAATGTCATGCACACGTAGATACCATCATTTTCTTACAGTTAGTTAAAATGATCTTTTTGTTCTGTATCAATTTTTTATTTTCTGACATTTCAGGTTATCTAGGATGAAATTCAGTCTCAGCTATATATGCCCTAGGAGCATGCGCTTTGGTGTCTGAGGAACTGATAAAACATTAACATTGTTGATGTGATTCTTCTAACACCTCTCCTATATAAAATCATCCCCCCCCCAAAAGGAGGGAGTTGAAAGCTAATTGAATTAGATTTTTTCATTTAATTGTTTTATTTAAATGTGTCAGTGTCAACAGTGAAAAATATTGATTAGGTGTATCCTTAATTCCCAGAGATAATATATTTCCACAGAGTTACCCAACTCTGTCTATAATAATAATTCGGTGCAATGGCTGGCTTTAAAAAGTACTGGGGTGATAATAATTAGGGTGTGTGACAGAAATTTCAGTGCTGGATTCAACATTTCACCATGCAGGGCATGAAAATTGTCGAGTGGGGGCTAGTCAGCTCTAAGTACTAATTAACTAATTGATCAGGTGCTGGAACCAAGTGAACGGAGGACAGCAGCCAGACAACTCCAGCCCAGGCAGAGGGGCGCGCAGTCTCTAAAGACACTGCACTCTTTCTTCTTGGCGTTTAACCCAATCAGAACTGGAAGGGAGAGAGGGAAGGAGAAAGGGAGGAAGGGAGGGAAGGAAGGAGGGAAGAAGAGAGAGAGAGAGAGAAAGAAAGAAAGAAAGAAAGAAAGAGGGAGAAAGAGAGAGAGAGAAGGTTATGGCTTTTCACTTAGAAAAAAATTAAATAAAAGCATGTGTCTCTGATAATATCTGTAAGGTACCCCGAGTAGGGCTGTGGCCAACTCTTCAGCCAAGAAGTGTCCTAGGTTTTGTTGGGGCTGGAGCTAAAGAGAACTCTATCTTCCTGGGGTTTACTTCTATAATACATAGTTTTTTTTTTTTTTTTTTAAAATAGGAGAATGAGAAACATGTCTCTTTTGGGGAGCTGATCTTAGGTCTTTTGCCTCATCCTTCGTTTATGTAAATGAGAAGAGTCCAATTACACATATGGAAAAAAGGTTTAATGAATCGTGAAAAGCCTGGTTTGCAGAGAAAGGGCACAATCTCTCCTCCTTTTTTTCCCTCCTCCTCCCCCCTCCCTTGCCCCCCTTGTCTTTTACATTTAACTTAGAAACATGTATTTCTTTTAAGAATGATGATAAAGCGTAGTGATTTGATCATTATTATTATCATTTTATGATCATTATGATTATTTTACATACTAATTTTAATACTTCAGAATTATCAAATATTTTTCTAGAAGATTGAAATTTATATTTGTAAGGCTTTCTGGATACTTAACAAATGTTCACATCAGAAACTACAAAATTATGACTTTCTTTCCCTAAATTTGAAAAAAGAAAGACTACCAGTCAGTTCCTCCCTTTTTTGATGTTATTCTTGGCTCAGTTTTAATTTCTTCTTTTGTTTGTTCTGAAATTGTCTGCAATGAAAACGGATTGCAACATTATATGGAAACTGATATTGAATGCAGAGAAAAGACAATAGTTTCCCATACATTTGTAGCTTAGTTTGGTATTGCATTTTAACTAGCTGGAATTTTAGGGTGTTGGAAACTAGGCAATTCTTATTTTCTTAAAAAAATCGGAATTTTGCACTACAGTAGAAAATTTTGTTTGAGCTTTCTATTTTTTTTCTTAATGTTGGGGTACTGAGTAGTTGAAAGTGGACCACACAGAACCCCTTCTCTACCCCAACTTTTAAAATGCTATAAAAACCTGTATTAGAAGACTAAGGAAATCAGTGCCATGTCTGATCATCACTCTGAGAATTTGGTTAAGTATGCAATAGCACCGAAGGAGCATTGTGCAAGGGCAGCAGGGGGATTCTCCATCACCACCGTCAGTGCTTCGCAGAGACCTTTAGGTGCTCTACAGACACCTAGTCCAACCACCTTACTGGGCACTTGAGGAAACAGAAGCCGAGGAGGGAGCACTTTCCTAGCGTGACCTTTCTCTCCCTTTAAAAATACTGTCTGATTCATGCCACAGATTTCTTCCCAAGTGTGGAAGACATTGCCAAAGAGTCCATATCGCCTGCCTAGTTCACAGAAGGGTCAGGTCTTTCCACTTTACCTCAGCCTCCCTGGATGTGGCAGACACCATCAAGTTGCCCCCATAATCATCTGCGGCAACAGGGGATGTAAAAGGGCATCAGCTCATCTGGATAGAGCCGACAAGTCCCCCCCACAAAAAGTGTGCAAAGGGAGCCCCCGCGCCAGGCGAGTGCGGCGTGGAGGCAGCGCTGCAGCGGGGCCACCTATGAGCCTTCAGTGCGGCAGGCGCGGCGCTAGCGAGTGCTG